GTCTGTGACCATTGTGTGGGGTGATCAGGAAATACATACCAAAGAAGATTTTAGCAGGTGAAGCTGGGGAAAAAAGGCTTTGCCAGAAGAAGGCCCAGCAAGAGAAAGGCCAGGAGGTTGGAAGGTGTGGAGGATGGCTGAACTCATATGGGCCTGTGGGTGGCATAGACTCTGGCTTTATCAACTGGGGACTTCTGATCTGAATTCACCCTGCACTCTCAAAGTATGCTGCTTCCATCCTGTGGACCTGGAGGCTCTCTGTGAATTTCCAGTGGAGACAGGTCCAACTGAGGGGAGTGACAGGCTAGCAGCTTCTAGTTCTGTGCAGAACTGAGTCCAGAACTACAGGCTGCCTACTGTGACAGCATTGACTGAGCAGGAAGAGGTTAGAACACCATCCAAATTCCCTGGCCAGATGGAAGTCTTTCAGCACTGAAACCAGCCAGCCCCCAATCCTTCTCTGAGCCCTCTATCACTGCAGCCCAGGACCAGGCACCCCCAAACCCCAGGAGCCATCTGACTTGCCCAGTGGATTGAACTCCAGACTGATGGATTTCCAGACTGTTGCGAGGAGGACTGTATGAGTTTGCTGCTGCTGCTGCTGCTGCTGCTGCTGTAACAAGTTTCACTGGGCTGCAGTCAGGGGGTTGCTAGGGCCAGGGTCCCTCTGGAAGCTCTGGGGAAGAACCTGTTTCCTTGCCTTTTCCAGCTCTTAGAGCTAAATTCCTCACATTCCTTGGCTCCTGGCTCTTTCTTCCATCTTCAATGCCAGTAGGGTGGCATCTTGCTTCTGTAGTCACATGGCTTTCTTCTGTGCCAAATCTCCCTCTGTCGCTTTCCTATGGGAACACTTATAAGGACAACAAGATAATCCGGAACAATCTCCTGTAATTCTGCAATGCAATCCTACCACTAACTATGTAGAGTCAGTGCAGACCCCACCCACAGGTTAAAGGCATAGTCCCCAACAAGACTGTCCTCACTCTAGACACCAGCTGCAAATTTGGGGGTCCCCAGGCCACCCACACTTCTGACCAACTGACTACAAATTCAGGAGTTCTCATGATCTTTTTCAGGTTCTGTAATTCACTAGAATGACTCCCAGAACTCAGGAAAGTGCTATACTTACAATTACAAGGGATTCAAGTCAGGACCCTCCAAATGAAAAGACACATCGGGTGAGATCTGGGAGGGTCCCGAGCACAGAGCTCCCGTGTCCTTATCCCATTGAACCAGGACACATCATCCTTCTCATATGGGAATGTGTTTTCCAGGCAGGAAGTTCCACTGAGCTTCAGTATTTCAGGAGTTTTTACTGGGGACTCATTACATAGGCAGGATTGATGGCATCATTGGCCGTGGGATTGAACTCCATCTCCAGCCCCCCTCTCCTCCCTGGAGGTCATGTGGCTGAAAATCCCAGCCCTCATGGTTGGTCTTTCTGGCATGACCAGCCCCCATCCTGAGCCATCACCTCAGTATAAACTTAGGTGTGGTCCATAGCTTCCCATCAATTACAAAACCTCTCCTATTACTTGGGAATTTTTAAGGGTTTAGACACTTCCTGCCAGGAACCAGGGACAAAACCCAGGCAAATTCTTCATCCTATGACATCTTCTCTTTGTACTCACATCTGCAACATCTCTTTTGCCATGTATGGTGACATTCACAGGTTCCAGAGATTAGGACGTGGATATCTATGGGGCCATTATACAGCCAGGTACAAGGAGGAACCAGCTGACAAAGTCTTACAGGTGGGACAGCAGCCACAATGCTTACCTGTGGCCTAAGTGCTTGATGTGTTGGATTAACCGATGGTTTGGGGGACTCACAGACAGATTCTAGTCTCACTTACTGACGATGAGATGGAGATCCCCGACCGACTGAAGAGCAACACAGACAGATCGATGGCCAGACTCTGGTTGACAGCAGCCTGACTTCAAGTCTGACCGACAGCCTCAAGGGCAGAGCACCTGACAGGTTGTCGTGCCCATGCACAACGGCAGCACCGGTGGGCACCAGACGCCCCAGCATCTCCTCTGGGCATGGAGCTGAATGAGGACCAACCGTGGCTGAGGCAGAATGAAGCGACCCCAGACTTAAGCTGGAACTGCTCTGGGATCCTGTCCATGGCCTGAGGAAGTCCTGGGGCCCCTGGTACCCCAGGCTCAGATGCTGGGGCTACAGGGCCCAAGGGAGCCCAGAGAGGGAAGCAGCTGGCCTAGACATGCCCATCCTCCCTTTGCCATCTGCCACGTGCATCCCTGAACAGCTCACAGGCCCTGCCTCTTGGTCACCTGGGTCCAACCCACCTGCCAGCACTACACCAGGTACATAAAGACTGAATAGAGAATCAGGGCCAGCCCCCTCCCCCACCCCCACAAGATTAAACCTCCCTGGATGGAAAGGAATCCCTGGGTTCCGTCCCCAATCCTAGAATACACCTTGACCTTTGGTTGGCTTTTGTTTTCCTAGAGCATTGGTCTTGCAAGGAAGACTGTATTCTAAAGGCTGACAGGTGGTACGGGAAGTGGCCTGTGCGTCGAGAAGCCCTGTGATGTTTTTCGAGAGCCTGATGGGACAGAGCCCAGACCCAGGCTGAATCTGGTCAGCAGACATTTTTCCTGGAGACCCCAGAAGACCTGAAAAGTACCTGTAACATACCTGGGACATGATAGGCATTGCTGACAGCACCATGATAGGCAGAATAATGTAGTAGGCAGAATAATGTCCCCCCATAGATGTCCAGGTTCTAATCCCTTGAATTTGTGAATATGGTACCTGACATGACAAAAGCGATTTAGTGAGTGTAATCACAAGGGTCCTCAGATGTAAATGAGGGAGGCAGGAGAAAATCAGGGAGGGAGATCAACTTCAGAAGGGTCAGAGTGATGTGATGTGGGAAGAACTGGATCCAACCTTGGTAACTTTAAAGGTGGAGGAAGGAACCTTGAGTGAAGGAGAGCGGGGACTCTCAGTTTGTGCAGACAGCTGTAACAAAACACCATAGGTTGGATGGCTTATAAACAACCGAAATTTATTGCTCACAGTTCCAGAGGCTGAGAGGTCCAGGATCAAGGTGCCAGCAGATTTTGACGTCTGGTGATGGCTTGCTTTCTGGTTCAATGACGCCTTATTGCTGTGTCCTTGCATACTAGAAGGGGCAAGGTGGCTTTGGGGGGCTCTTTTATAAGGGCACTAATCCCATTCACGAGGACTCCACCCTCATGATGTAATCACTTCACAAAAGCCCCATCTCTAAATACCATAACCTTGGGGATTAGGTTTCAATATATGAATTCTGGGAGGACAGGAACATTCACAGCATACCAGCAGCCTCTGGAAGTTAGATAAAGCAAGAAAATGAATTTTCTCCTAGAACCTCCACAGAGATGCAACCCTACAGCATCTTGATTTTAGCCCAGTGAGATTGGCATCAGATTTCTGATCTCCAGAACCGTCAGATAAATTTGCCTTTTCTTAAGCCACTAAGTTTGAGGTAATTTGTTTCAGCAGCCATAGGAAACTAGTACAAGACCTCACCTGGAACTCACCCATAACAGGACAGTAACTACTTACAACATAGTAGCAACAACCTGGGACTATTTTGTAACACACCTTAACAGTTCTGAAAGTTCCTGTACACTCCCATGGAAATAATGCAACTCAATAAAAGCCACTGTAAACTCTCCTGTAACCAACTTTTAACATCCGTAATATGGGAGTCACCACTTGGGATGTCTCTGTAACCCCCTCTTCACCCAACAATACACACATGTAACTGATCTTATCTGGGGTGGCCGTATG